TTTTTAATATACAGCCCGAACTTTTCCACGCTGTTTTGCGGATTCTGCGGAGAGGTCTTTTTAAGTTATAACTGAGTGGTGAGAGTTATCCCTTAGTTCTTTCCTGTTATCCTAATCCCAGTCGAATTTGATTCTTGGTACAAAACTGTTAAAAAATTGGCCGTGGACGTGACGCTTCTTCTGTTGACTCAGACAAGATTTCTTTGTTTTGCAGCTTTGTTCAAACAGACTACATTTGGATTACTTGTTCGATGAATTGCATGAAATATTTTGTTTTCAGGGTTGGCTCCGAGTTCGACTTCGATTCAGGAATTTGATTTAGCCAACACTAACACTGACTAAGTCACCAAAATATGACATTTGCCATAGCCTGGCTTGACTTTAAGAACACCGAACGTCTCAGTCAGAATCCAGTCAGGCGACCTCGGGTATTGTACTAAGTGATTTTTTAACAAGTCAGAGACCAGAAAAATAACAGAATAACATCTAACGACTTATTTCTCTCTTGTTGACGATTTGCCGTGCCATTCAGTTGTATTTCTTGAGAAGCCTGATGGGTATAGAAAGCGAAAATTTCAAATTTAGTCTGATGATGTATCTGTAAATGACCCATTGAGTTAATTATGTTCTGAAAATTTGAAATGAATAAGATTTTTTAATTACTTACATCTCTTTTGATACAAAGAGTTCCCCTCTCAGTAGACCCCCTGGTTTGAGTTCAGGGGTGGATCCAGGGTAGTTTACCTGATTTCCGGAACTCACTCAAATTTTTTCCGACCTAGTTAAATGTTGATAAAAGTACTTTTGGAAAACACTCTAATTTCCCTTTGGAAACTACTGATACTTTTGTGGAAATCACTAAACGTCTTCCAGAAATAAACCATCTTCCTGTTTTACAGTTATTTATTAAAGAAAATACGTTTAGAATGACTAATTTCGTTATAATTGCGGTCATGAGGCGTTCGGGAGCGCTCCGGATCACGCGCTGGCCTTTCGAGCTTCGATTACACCTCGGAAACCGTCGGAAGCCGTCGGAAAATGTTCGTGGAGCCAATCTTTACGCAACCGGTGGGTGTAAGTCCTTGTTATTTGGTGACAATAACAGGCGGAACACAGTCAAAACCCCTCACGATTGGCTAGCAAAGATTTCGTCATCGGAACTCACTCAAAACACTCTTCTGATTGGCTAGTTGTGTTTGGAAACTACCTTGGAAACTACTGACAAAGTATAAAATGGGCAGTTCCTCCCCCAGCGGGTCTCTTTCGTTGCTCCTACAAAACAAGTACTTTTGAACTTGCTCAGGGGTTAACGACGGAATAACAATTTACTGTTAAACGTTTAAAAAATACTAGTGTTATGACTCGCGGAGATCCTGTTTGTCGGAGGGAGGATTGTTCTCCCTTCGACATTGGCCTAGTTTTCGACGAGATCCACAACTACTCGCCGCATCAGAAGCTGGAGTTCGTCGAAAACGTGTGGAAACCAGGTGAGCTTTTTGATTTCCCCGTGTCAATGGAAAATGGAAAATCTCGCAAGTTTGTCTCGGGCTGGCTGAAAAGATTTCCATGGCTAGCTTACTCCAAATATTTCGATGGAGCATTTTGTTTAGCTTGTGTTTGTTTTGGAGTTCAGTGTGGGCGAAACGCTAATAAGTTAGACAAATTATTGAAGTCTCCTCTCACAAATTGGACTTCGGCCGCTTCTCGCTTAACCAAACACTCGCTAGGAAATTGTGAAATTCACAATTTTTCTATGACTGCTATGAATGATTTCAAGAGAATGATGCAAAGAGGAGCTGTCCCAATTGACCAGCAGTTAAATAACATAGTTCAACAGCAAATCGCGAGAAATCGGGAGATTCTAAAGTCCCTTTTCAAAACTATTATTTTCTGTGGGAAAAACAACATCCCACTCAGGGGGCGGAGAGATGATGATCCCACTAATGCTGCCCTAACCGGTAATTTCCAGGCATTGCTAGAATTCCGGGTAGACAGTGGTGACCAAACACTGCAGCAACACCTGGACACTGCACCCAGAAATGCCACATACATTTCAAAGACCATTCAGAATGAAATGATAGCAACTGTTGGTGCTCACATTTTGAATGATCTATCACAGGAAATAAGAAATAGTAAGTATTTTTCAGTTATGGCAGATGAAGCTGCTGACATTTCAAATAAGGAGAATGTTTCTGTAGTAATAAGATTTCTGGATACAACTAAAACCATCCGAGAAGAATTTATTGAGTATTACATTTGTGAGGAGGGATTAACAGGGGAGGCTATCAAGGACATTATAACTGCAGCTGTAGCAAACTTAGGATTGACAATGGAAGACTGTCGTGGGCAGTGTTATGATGGTGCAGGCAATATGGCTGGAAGACTAAATGGAGCCTCCTCATTGATCAGTGCAGAACACGAAAAGGCAATCTATGTCCACTGCATGAACCACAGGCTTAATTTGTGCATAGCAGACACTTGCCAATTGTCAGGAACATGATGGATATTGTGCGCAAGATTTCTAATTTTTTTAACAACTCTCCCAAGCGTCAACAACATTTAATAGCCAAGATCAGAGAACTATTGCCTCGGGCAAACCATACTGTTTTAATTGATGTGTGCTGCACACGATGGATTGAACGGATTGATGGAATGGACCGCATAGTTGAACTTCTCTACCCAGTCACAGCTACACTTGAAGACATCTCACTTAACAGAAACAGCCATGGAGACTCAACCTGGAATCCAACAAGCAGACATGATGCTCAGTCCTTAATTAATGCAATCAACTTTTCCTTTATTGTTTCTCTTGTTATTGTCAGACATATTTTGGGATTAACTAGACCACTCACAGTGAAGCTGCAAAAAAAAAGAAATGGATCTTCTAAAAGCTAAAGATGAACTTGCTCTTTTGAAATCAGTCCTTGAAGACATGAGCACTGACATTGATAACAGACATCATAATCTCTACCAGGAAGCAGTGACCATTGCAAGACAAGTAGCAGTCCAGCCAGAAATGCCAAGGATAGCCCAGAGACAAATGCATAGAAATAATGCTCCTGCTGCAACTCCTGAGGGGTATTTCAAGATCAATCTCACTAGAGTTTTTCTTGACCATGTACTCCAGCAGCTCAACACCAGATTCCAGGATGATGTATTTGTTTGCTATAAAGGTATTTCGATTATTCCCTCTGTTTTACTAGCTACTGACCCTGCCTGGAAGGCCAATGTTTTGGAATTTTGTAACCATTATAGACAGGACATACCAAATTATGCAGGATTACAGGCAGAGCTTTTGTTATGGGAGAGATTGTGGAAGGGGAGGGATAACAGAGGAGATATTATTCCTGACAGTTTGGAGGCTACACTGAAGGATATTGACAAAGATGCATATGTCAACATCTATTCCATGCTGAAAGTCCTGATCACAATTCCAATTTCATCTGCATCTTGTGAGAGATCCATATCATCCCTTCGGAATCTTAAGAACATTTGATTCCACAGTCGGAAAAGGAACCGAAGATCTCCAGTGTAATTCTTGATGGTTTTTACTTCGATACAATGACCCAGGACAGACTGAATGGATTGGCACTGATGCATGCCCACAGAGACATGGATTTTGACCTTGAACGTATGATAGATTTATTTGCTGAGTTACATCCTAGGAGAATGAGAATGGCAAACATTTTGTAATAATTTTTTGCACCAGCTGTTTCTAGAGTACTTGTGAGTTATGTTCTGTCTGGGTTATGGCCTTTAAGTCTCATAATCCTTAAACTGATGGAGAACAGTACAGAAGCTCAAACTGGTGCCTGTATAACTTTTTTCAACTCATTTCAAGGTTATTTTCTATTTTGTTTTACTTGTGATGATTTTCCATTGACATTGACATTGGGTTTTCATGTTAAGCTTAAATGGTTAACAAACATTTTCACTGAATTCAACCAGCTTCACAGCAATTCCCAAGGATGAAGAAAGGCTAGTATTATTTCAAATTATCATTTTACTTCAATTTGTATATCATTTTATGATTCTTATAATTTATATTTTTCTAATAATTGTTTTATTTTTTGAATTCCAGCTCCCAACACAGGCTAACCATCCATAAAGCCCTTCTCTCTCTCTTAAATTCTTTTCTGTGTTGTGCTCCTATAAATGAAATGAATAAAAGCCAGCTCAGGAAATGTTTTTTTTAGTGTTGCTAAACATTTGGATTTACACTATGAACTCAAAACCCATGAAAATCTTGTGAAATAATTCATTGTAAATTCACAGATTTTTCACAGGATATTCATGGTTAAATCAATGACATTTTCATGGTCTCAGTGCCATGAAAAAGACCTGAAAAATCCCATGAAAAACCTGTGAAAATTTCCATATTCACGACCCATGAAATATTGAGTAAAGTGACCTAGAAGCCATGAAATACCCATGAAAATGGCATTTCATGGCCTTTTCAAAGGTACTGAGAAACCCATGAATTTCAAGCCCAAAATTTCATGGTGTTAAAGTTCACTAGTTTTTAATGGGTTGCAGCAAATCATGACCCATGAATATTCTGTGAATATGTTAAAAATTCATTGACCATGAAAATTTTCCTTGAATTTTCATGGCCTCTACATGGTTTTTTCATGGCACATGAAAGTTAATTGCCAGTTAGTTTTCATGGGGTTGTTAGGAATATGCAAGCACCATGAAAATTCTTTGAAAACCCTATGAATTTGGAATGAAAAATTCTTCACTTTTCTTGTACCAAAGACTGTACTACAGTGTTTAGCTTGCAGCATACCATAACTGTAATACATACACTATCACTTAAATTATACACTGAAGAACTAACCTATCTGTGAAACTTCTTGGTCCTGTTGTACAAGCACACACACATGAAAGACATGACCAGAAGTTTGGATTCTCTGATAGTTTATTTTGTTTCACCAGCTGTACATAAATATTACTTTAGGATTCCAAAATTGTGATAATTCAGTTTACACTTTCTTAAATAAAAAAGTTGGTATGAAATTTTCTGCATACAATTAAGATGTTAATGATTTTTTGCTCTATTTTGACATCACTGATTTTCCTTGTGGAGACAGATTCTGCTCCTATATTTCTGAAGGTATATAATAAATTTGATGTGAAAAATATTTGGACGAAATTATTGAAAATATACTCACTGGCTTGATGTATTTTTGTCTAAACTTCAAATATCATTTCCTTCGTCTAATATCATGTGTAAAATGTTATGGACAGTTATTATAATGTCTATTTATGTAACAGCATTCATGTAAATTTCTTGATATGTTTTACACTTGTGATCAATACTCTCAAGGTAAATAACCACAAAACAATTACCAGCTTTCTGCACTCTTGCATGTGTGAAGATATATCTATGGCTGACTATGTCAGTGTCTCTCTGTTTTGGCCACCTGAATGTGCCATCCTTCTTTCGGTTATCATTACTATTTGCATCTTCATCATCGTTTGGACCAAGATAGGCTGCTTTAGCAAGTGTGCATTTCCTTTCATCAGTTTTGTAGACCAACACTCTTCACTGTTTGCAAAATAAAGGGAGCACATCATCAGTTATCTAAGAGCCTTTCTTATGTACGTAGTAAACCTAGAAATGGATAACTCGCCAAAACAGGTTCTTTTCAACATGAAGCCGTCAGGTACTAAGCGACGCACTATGGAAGTGAGGTGAGGTATTTCGTATTCAGAATTTGACTGTATTTTTTATTCCTAAGAACGGTCGTAGGTATTTCCATACAAACTCTTGTGATGTTTCGCCAGATGATCACAGAATAAAAATTTTCAAGTTAAATCAATAGTTAGCGCGCGCTCTCCGATGTTTGCGCGTAATAAGATGACCAAACTTGAACTTACCCCTTCACGTTGTAATACATGTCGATAACTTCATCTTGAGGAAACCTCTTTGAAAAAACTTTTCAGACGGTCCATTGCGTTGATCTGGAAAAAAAGAGACTGCTACACAAACACTACGAGAAATGCAATTGGAATGGAACCATTCCGTTCGAGGTACGAAAAAAACCGCCACTTCTTCGTAAATCACGTGTACTTTCACGTGGTGACCTTAGGTCATCGCAGCCATCATAGGTCAGCGGTCACATAGTGACCTCACAGGTTATCGTGTTTGACGTTACGAAATGACTCCGAAGAGGTCTCGTTGCTGCGTCTGTAATCTTATGCCCCATTCACACCAAAGCTTAAACATGTTTAAAAGTTGTTTTGTTAAACACAGTTTAATTTTTTTTTTCTTCATAGAAACTATTTAACCGAATATTTTTGACTTGAATGTAGCACATCGGAAATACAAGTTAGCAAGTACTTGAATCCTATGGAAAATCAAGTTTTTCAGTTCTCTGCTTATAATTTTCATTCAATGAAAACCAGTTTAACAAAACATGTTTTGCTGGTGTGAATGGGGTATTACAAAATAAAGCAGCACAAAAAGCTGTTCGGTATTTGGAATTCGAAGCAAGTAACAATCGACAGGACATCAGAGTCCAAGAAAGTCAGAGCTGACATCGACAGTGATTCCTGTGAAAGCGATCACGAAATCAACAACGATGTTGTAGAAGGCGATCTCAATGAATACATGAAGGTAACGTTTCATCCCGACTGAGAAGATGGCCTGCCTCTGTTAACCAGCGACTCTATGAACGAGGTAAAAATAGCATTTTTTTCAGGTTACATTTGCACACTATTCAAAGTTCCAAATTGAGGTGACAAAGTGATTGATTTTTCATTGTTTTGTTCCACATTTCGTGTAGATGCAATGCGTACTATTGCTGTGCAACTTAAGCATCTGTACTCTGCAGGTGCCTTACTGGAAAAGCCCTAGAAGATTCCTCAGCCGTAAGAATGTAAGAGAAGGCCTTGAACAGGTTTCCAGAGTCATGGCTAACAATCAAAGCCAGCAGTGAGGCAGAAAAAAATTCAACAAAGTCGTCCAGGCATGGCGAAGGCAAAAAGGCCCCAAAAAATCAAAGTGAGGATCAAACCTCTGGGTCATTGCCTCCAGCCCTATTTGTCTCAACAAAGGAGCAAATTGAAGATCCATTGTTTTTAGTCATTGTTTTGTGATTTCCTGTACATTTTACGTTACCGCTGATTCGGTCAGCGGCGCAATGGCGGTCAGTCGTAATTTTCTCGGCTCCGCCATAACCACTTATCTATATCTGTTCTGTTGTTTAAGTCGCTCTTTAATTTATCTAAATACGCTCATTTTCTGTCCATCTTATGCCCTTGATGATTCTGGAGTTACAAAGACCACTAATGAATTGGATTTATACCGTGCAAGTTGCTCGTCGTCGATGCGTTTGTTCCGCCATCTTGGATTTTCATCTTCAACAAGATCACATCGCTACTTCACTGCTCGGATATCTCATACTCCGAACTCTGTTTCTTCCTTTAACCTAACGAGTCTTCGCTTAACAACTAGTGGCGACATCAGCCCGAACCCTGGTCCACCAATTACGT